AAAATAACTAAATGTAGAAAATAGAAAAGTTTGCATAACGTGTTCACTGGAATTCTGTTAAATTTGGTGAAACAGAAATAAATCACATCCACTTTTATGAAGGTGGACTGAGTCAGTTTGTTTATTGAAAATGATATGATTGACTAGCCTGAAAAATAGTGTTTGTATTTTGCTAACACTACCTGGTTGAAAAGGGTCAAGATTGAAAATCTCAATGATTTTTTCAAACTTGACAGATTGAGAATCAGGTGGAAAATGAATCATCACTACGCCGTGAAATATCACGGATTACACAAACTCAAACCAGTAACCACTCATGATAAATTCCATAAGAGTTTCATTGACTGTAAATATTGTTTGGTGTGTGTGTGTGTGTGTGCCTGTCACAGGGAGAGAATGGTGTGGTCTTCTACCTCACTCTAGATGTTGTGGAGACCAACTGCAGCGTTCTCAGCAAGAGGGACTGGAAGAGCTGTGACATTCGTCCAAGGGAAAACATCAAGGTTAGAGCCCACACACACGTGCGCACACACAGAGAACACGGGGTAACCCTAACTGAAATTCTATTTCAGCATAGTGAGCATCTTAGGTTTTTGTTCCATAAGCATCACTTCAGAAGTTGGAAGGGGAAAAAGTCATTTGGTGTATTGATATATTGTATTTGTGTTTGCAGGTATATGGACAGTGCAAAGCTGCTATCTTCATCAATAAGGTGCATAGAGTGGAGCGCCTCTACAAATACAACTGTGTTATCAGACCAGGTATGAAAAATATTAGATAGATCAAAAAAGGAGTTGCAGTTTTCACTTAAATGTAACCATCACATCTATGATGAAATGCAGTTCTACATATACAGCAGCATACTTTATAGAGGAAAAATAAAAACAGGCTCCACCTTATTAGACAATTTGATGAAATTACAGGTTTTGTGCAACACCAACATTTAAAACCACTTCTTTTTTTTTTTGTTCTGCTCAATTCCTGCAGGTAGTGCGCGTGAGGGCTGTCTCGGTTGTCCAAGTTTACCTCGCGATCATGAAGAAGCTGAAATTCAGAAGACTGTGACCCAGTCTCTGGAGAAATTCCACAACCAGAGCAGGCCGGCCAATCGTTTCACTCTGCTCAAAATCTCCCGTTCTACTTCACAGGTAAGATTACCACAAATACAAAAGTAAAATTAAGATATGTGACATACAAACATGCTATCTAACCAAATACTTACTGTGGATGAGTGCTAAAATTTAAAATTAAAGACATCCTGTCTCTGAGTAACACTGGAAAAACTAATGCACATAGTCATAGTTCTAGGCTGAACTACTGTAAATCATTATTGTCACTGTTAAATACCCCAATTCTTTGATCTTCGAGCTGAAGGAAGAACAACACTCGGTGTTTAAATGCTCAATCAACAATCACTTGCTCTCAGTGAGCCCAAGTTACGACCTTGGCTTCCTGTTTTTCTCCTTCTGTGTAAGATTAGGGAGAATCTCCTGTGCAGTATGTTGTGTTCTCTCTGTAATCAGAAAAGCAAGGCCATGATTCTCTACAAACAGTATTTCATTATAAATCAGCAGTATGAAGTACCATAAAACAGTGTAATTCATTCACAGTAAATCAGCAGTATAGTGTAATACAAATCAATCTAATAAGTCCAATAATTTCACCTTTTCTAAATCAGGAGTATAATGCAACCTAAAACAATCTAATGATTTCACAATCTTTAATTAGAGGCATAGTGTAGCATAAGACAGGGTATTAATCCCACATCACATTGTGCGAAAGGTTCACTGAAAAGCTCTCAATCAATCTGAATCTGAATCAATACAACAGTGAAAACATTAAATGGGATAAGAAAGATCCTATATTTATTGTGGACTCTCATTTAGATTGACACGTTATTATGCTTTTTTGTGTTTGTGTTTCCAGGTCGTAGCAGGTACGAATTACCGTGTGGAATACACCATCCAGGAGACCACCTGCCCCCACAGCACAGAAGCAGTGACGGCTGAGAACTGCCCCCCTATGGACTGCGAGTTTGCTGTGAGTCAGGAGAAAGAATTA